GACCAGGAATATTTATACATTTCGAACGTTACAAATCGTTTAATTTCAGTGGATTCTCATCGGACATTAGTATTTTTACATTATATAAACATCGTGTGTGACCAAGAACAAAGCTAGCTAGCGACTCGTATCTACATCAACTCGTAATTAATTCGACCATCGTAAACCCTCGATAAGATATCAAGGAAGGTCCAGACTAGAAAGAAAACTTTATATCGTTTGTAAGTTTGAGAAACTATTGTTTATAAATCATTGTTTGTAATAACTATTTGTAATAATTGTTCTTGTAAATTGTATGGTTGTGTGTATGTCAAAACGTATTTGTGTTAAAAACGATAACGGTGTATATCATTCTTGTTGGCAAATATCGTAAATTGACTGATATATCAGAATATATTTAAATAATAAATCCAAAGTACAATTTAATTACTAAATTTAAATTATCAGTTAACTCGGCTTCAGACCATGAGAAATTCCAATACGTAACAAAGAATATAAAGAAATCTTATTACCTCTTGTTCTTCAAGAAGAAGTAAGTCCTTAAAAAAGAAAAACACATATAAAAAACGAGTCAAGTTATAAATGCTTATGATTTTATAATATAGCATACATAAATTCAGTCATTGGAAATATAACTAAATTTTTCAAGCCCTTGATGAATGAGTGCATTGTTGAACGTAGAACGATTCTTGTCAGAAAAAAACAACATGAGAACAATTCAGATAAATGTAATTCAATTAGTTGTTCGTTAAAGAAAGCTCGGAATTTTTATGTGTTATTGATTACATCTTTTAATGTTTCGACTTGAAATTTTGTGTGAGAAGAAAGTTGAAAACAACAAAAAAATAACAGAAGTTTGTGAAGAAAAGTTAATTTTTCTTAATATCAGTTTTTACTATGTTACATGACGTAACAAGGTTTTCAAGTTTCGATGATTCTTCTTTGGGAAACATTTTTATATCTATGAGCTTGAAAGGTGAACTTAGTAAGAGCATGGTAGATAGTGTGATTGTTTAAGTAAGACAATTTCAGGGACGAGGGAAGCATTGATAATCCTTTAAAAAGAAGAAACTGTTGAAACACCCTAAAATCATTTAGAATGTAGAATATTCACAGCGTCATATCTCAAAAGACTAGTAATATCCAAAATTGTCTATAAGTAGCGTTTAATACATTTATGCGTGAAACAATACCATGAAAAATTAGAGACAAAGCAGTGTGTGATATGATAGTGAAAAAAGATAGTTCTTCGAAAACTGTTATAAAAACACAGGATGTGTATACGTATATATATATATATATATATATATATACTTACTTTCTGTAATTCTGGAACAAATATTTCTCGTGGAGCCTTTTCCAGTTTATCCATATTCTTAAAGTTACTGTTAGGAGAAAAACAAATTACACTTCGTAAACTTACAGAGGATGTAATCCAGGATCAAGAACAGATGAAAAAAATAAAACAAAATAAATGTACAATAAGAAAATCAATTACTTAACCGAAGGCCTTTATGAAACCCTTATCTTAACTAGATATTACAGCGAGGTTTAAAATATATCAATTGGAATTTTCTGGTCATATTTCAATATAAAGAGCAATTAGTGGATTAGATAATATGAATCATTGTCATTGAATGCTTGAGATTGTAACTTTTAGAATTATCAAAGTAGTACAAATAAAAATATTCTTTAACCTCATTTTAGAGTACTTTCTAAATAGATTGTTATATATGTTTCATTATAATATAATCATGATATCACAAATAACGATTTTTGCAAAACAATTAGTGACTTACCGGAGAAATAACTAACTGAAGAAAATCGTTCCCGATTTAATATCTCTTCAGTTTTAATCCACACATGCACAATAAAACAAACTAATTTACAATAAAAATTGAACCAATGTGAATCCTTACATTCGAATTATGCCTGCCAAATGTTTTGGAAATGAATAGTAAAGATCCTTATTTTTTATTAGCTTTTTTTCACCTAACATTAAAATGATCTTCAGAAGGCAAACATTATTTTATTAATGTTATTTTAGGACAAACTCCATTTGTTTAATGAAATTCTTCTTCTTCATATATTCATCTAAAAACATTTCCTATACAATTTTTCAAGTTTGATCTATGCCTTCTGAACGATTTGATTTTGAAGACTGTGAAATGAAACACGTAATCTTAGAGTAGGTATTGAAACACGTGATTAAATGAGCGCTGCAATGCTTCGTGTAAAACTCAACTGTATGTCATTCCTTACCGTGGATTTTGTTAACCTAAAGAAAGCTAGCGGAGTTTACAAGTGTAGTTGGTTCTGATATTGGTTTTACATTCTAAGAGTGATGTACTTTTGGGGAAAAGACATCACTTAACCCTCAACTGAGGTTTCTAACATCACATATGTAATATTCCTTGAAACTTAAACTGTTACGCGAAACTATTGAAAAAGAAATGAAGCGACCATGCTTGTGTTTTGGTATCCTTGATATGTTAGCCACGTGCTCATCCTCCTCTACCGAATACGTTATTAAACGTATTTGTAATCTTGATAGCAGTCACAACACTTTATAAAGTTTGGCACACGCACACAGCGAGTTGTATTTGAGCTATTATTAAATTGTTCTCAAGCATTTGCATCAAATAAATTTGTAAACACTTTAAATGTTTTTTTCCTGGTATTTGCAGATCCACCTGAATTGCAGATTAAGACAGTTTCGTAAAATCAATAAAATAAAGTAATCGGAAATTATAATCTTAACCGAAATAGAGATGCATTGACAAACATAGTCAGTGAACTTGTTTGTTTAGTTATGAAGCACGAAGCTACACAATGGGGTATCTGTATCAGAGGTATTGCTGAGAAACTGCGGGGGGGGGACAGTCAGTGATTGATCTTAAATGCAAAACAGTTGTAGCTTATGGGTAAGTTAATTTGTCGTTCATCTATAACGTTGGATAATAACAATTAGTTAAGTTTTATTAGTAATAAGAAATCATGTTTTGAAAGTATGAACATTTGAATGGAGAATTTGGCTAAGGGACTACGCTTCTGTATAATCTTCGTTATTCGTTTGTTGGATCGACTTTTCCTTTATTATACTCATCCCTCTGAAAGAAATTTTCAACCCAAACTTTAAAAGTAGAGAATGTCGCTTTAGTAATCGTGTTTTCCCTCACGATTACAAAACTATCAGATAATTATCTTAATCTATTTATATCAAAGAGAGAACAACAAGAGGTAAAAGTAATATCGAAGTAAAGATATTTATTGTTGTGTAATCTTATAATTTGGAAAAGAAATTATTACTCTTAGAAAATGTACATGTTCTAATGTACACATTTTTTATAACAAATGCGAAATGGCAATAAAAAGTAAAATATAAGCTAAATCCGTTTTACACTACAATTAATTATTGTAAACGATTATAATATGCAACCAGTTCTAACAATTAGATATTTTCATCATTTTTTACAGCACTCACGAGACCTCACTTACCTCAGAATTGATTTGACCGTCAGTGATTTGCCCTGTGTATGAGACAGATTAATCTTCTGTGCACCCTGCAAGTAATCAGTCGCAAATGTGAGGTACAAACACACATTACATATATTTAATAAATTTGTTTACAAATATTTTGACTAAAATATGATAATTAGTAAACTGAACGATAAAGAATTTTTTGAAATGTATAAACGTAGAATATTTCTTAATTGCTTTGAGGATGTATCAGACAGTGTCTGTTGGTTGTGACCTGTACTAACCAGACTGTAACTTGCTATTCGAAGGATTTTATCGCAGTCATTTGTTATAGCTAATGGCTCTGTCAAAAGGGTTATAGTTTATGCATTGTTTATAATACCACCATCGCTCTTCTAAATCTTTCGGCTTTTGTAGATTTTCAGTAGATGTGTTCTAGCTGTTGTGGGAACGTAATAATAAAAAATAGAGTATTGTTTAAACATGAAATATGATACGAAATGTATTATTTGTTTGTTCCATAAGCACGTTTTTATAGCCGTGCCAGTTACAACGTTATATTCGTGTTTTATGGTACCTGAATAGAATACAGAGATATTTTTTAAAGGCTCTAAATGTTACATTCAGCTGAGTTAATCATGAATTAAGCCTTTTTAGTCAGGACGCAAAAATGCTGCAACGTAATTGCACTGTCAGTTAAGTCCCTTTTCAGGTCTGGCTATGTGACATACCACTTTCTTAATTAAGTACCTTTCTGGTCTGGCCATGTGACATACCACTTTTTTAATTAAGTCTCTTTCTGGCCTGGTCATGTGACATACCACTTTCTTAATTACATTATCCTTCCCAACTATAAAAGTTTGAGGTTGTTAACTTGATGTTTTTATTTCAGGAAAAGATCAGCAAGAGGCAAAATAATTTTAAAAGGAAACTTAATTGTGTTTTAAAATGCTAATTCCAGAATATTCCATTTTCGGCTGTCTTATTGTTTTGATATTTAATTGCATTGTGCTATTTTATAGTTATATTGTGAATATCCTTCTCTTATTGGATTGTGGGTTGTACTACTTACTAGATGTCTTATGAAAACTTGTTGTACTATGAATTGCGCTGTTTTACAGTTCTATATGCATATTCTCCCTAGGTGTGTCTTGAATTGTGGTACTTTCTAAATGTGTTGTGGATATTCCCCTAGCTGTGCTGTGAATTGTTGTGAAAATGCGAATATTTGACTGTATTACAGTAAAGCTATAATTCTCGAATTATGTTGCAAAAATGTTCAAAAATAACTCGAAAACTCAAGAATTTTTCAAACAGTAAACTCTAACTATGATAGATAAAAATGTCAATTTAGAAGCTAACTGAATCTCTAACAAAGCATGAAATATTGACCAAAGTGATTAAGAAAACTAATTCATTAAAAAGAAAAAGGAAATTAACTGTGCTATATGTTAAGAAGATCGGAGAATGAAAAACTTTGTGGAACAGTTGAACGTAACCAAACATAGCGTAGTGACACAAAACCAAACTAGCAAGTGAAAATTAAACAACAAACTAATATATAAACATTTGGAACAGTATTAGAGGTTATACGAATCATTGATAGTTCAGGGATTTGAGAGTAATATTGGTCAGGTCTTACTCAGAAGATATATTTTTTTACCTTTTTTTTCACATTAAAAACAATGTACTTAATAGTTCATATTATACTTTTAAAAGAATATCCAAACATGTTTCAGCGTATTTTAGTGTTGATAGAATATCTCTGGCTATTGAAACGTTTATTTGCAAATATTACTTATTCATTGCGTCATGAGTACGTGAAACATGCTACTCCTTAGTTTCGCTGTGATAATGTTACTTGCTATCTGTGATGTGAAAATACTTCTTGCCTGAGTGAAAGTACCACTTCATGTGTGTGTGTGAAAGTATTATTTCCTGTCTGTGATGTGAAAAGGTTACTTCTCGTGTGTGAGTGAAAATGTTACTTTCTGTATGTTAGTAAAAGCGCTACTTCCTGTCTATAATGTGGAAATGTTGCTTCCTGTGTGTGTGATTGCATGTGCTACTTCCTGCCTGTAATGTGAAAATGTTACTTCCTGTATGTGAGTGAAAGCGCTACTTCCTGTCTGTAATGTGAAAATGTTACTTCTTGTGTGTGAGTAAAAGCTGTACGTCCTGTATTTATTTCGAAAGTGCTACGTTCTATGCTATTTTTCTATTATAATAGCCTCACATAACTATTTCATTAAAAATACTCCTGACAGTGAACAAAGCGGAACCTTTGTAATTGCGCCCTTGATCATTGCTTAAACAGTTGTAAGTCATTATTGTATTCTAAATTCTACGTTGTTGTCGGGCTAAGTAACCATCACGACTTACAAAAAACAAAAAAAAAACAACAACAAAAACAGGAAAATGACAAACAAAGTTTGTATAAATGCATATTTTGAAAAGAGATCTTGAGTCAATATTGCCATCATGAATACAAAGAAAATAACGGATGAAATAAAAAGCACTCGATTTGTTTTATCACTTGCCATAATGAACTTGGTAAGAGAATTTCTAGAATGTTGTTTTTGGTGGAGAAGTTAAGAAATACTTTAAAGCATTCACTGTAAATGTCAACTTGTTTGAGCAATGGATTTTTGAAGGCTACAGAGGAGTGCTGAAAACAACCGAGTTTGTCTATATAAATACTTGTATCCTGCTCGTCTGTATTACCTCCTCCTATTCAAAAACTGATCATCTTATATTCAGAGCGCTTGACGTTTCAAAAGTATCTTTCCTGTAAAAAAAAATGGTTTTGAAAGTGACATTCTTGTTCACTACTAAACTCAGAGAAATAAGACGCAATAATATCAGTAGAAGCATTACTCCAACAAATCGATTTTCTCAATTTTTCCCTTCTTCCAAAAACCGATTACTTTTACTTATACATCTGACAAAGAACATAACTATGGCTGTGTAACGTCGTCTATCGTATTAGCAAACATTCTTCCGTGAAGAATGCCGAATATTCCAGAAAATGTAAGTGTATTTGAGGATGCAGGTTAGAGAACGAGAAGAAAATCGTGTTTAGAAATAATAAAAGTGGCTAAATCTAAATAATATTTTTTCTGTAGTTTGCATTACTGGATCAAATCATATAATCCATTCAGTAAAGGAAATTCGTAAAGTTCTAGCTAAAAAAGGCCTATAAAAGCAGAAAGACAAAGTTTTGATTGTTAAATAAAGAAAAAGTTTTGTATTTTATTTCTTAGTTCATCACTATTATAAAGCAATGCACTTTAAGATATTTTCATTTTATGTCTTTTATGTTCCTGTAAAAGTATGTTTTAGCACTTAGTAATTTGTTCTTGTTATTATTATTTTATTACCTAAAATGACACAGTAACTGAAATATTACTGATAAAAATCCCATAAGAAATGTTTCTGTTTAAATTCCAATTATCTTTTTTATTCTTTCTTAAGGTTTCACAAATAGTTCAAATCAAACACAAAACGAATAAACATTAAAATCATAAATAATATTCAACGTTAAACTGGTACATAATTAAAAACATTTTATTTAGGCCTATCTATGGCCTTCAAAAAGTTGATAACTCTACATGTTTCGATGTTACAACGTCATCCTCATTGTTTGAAATATAAACATTAATAAAGAGTAAAACTAGTAAAACATGCGTAAAATAAATTAAGAAATCTTTGGAAATAAAATGACAAAGGTCTTTAATTATAAATAATTAATTAACTGTTTTCATTTTTATTGTTACAGTTTATATGGCATATGATAAAATATAAAATGGCCAACTGAAGATCCCAAAACTCGTTATATAGCCTTATAATAGTTGGAAAATTATAATGAAGTGCGAATATTTTAAAAAACTAGTAAAAACTTGATATACATAAATATTTCCTTATTGTTGTTGATAACAGTTTCTTACAAAAGAATAAATAAAATCTACATTAATTGAATTAAATGATAGTATGAAATATATATTTGAAGTCTTATGATGTACAAGAAACTATTAACTATTCAACATTGTTAATTAGTTAAATTAAGACATATTATCAGAAGCCACTTAAAACGAAACTTTATGTATTATATAGCTGGACACAAATATATTTATATCAACTATATAAGGATGTAGATAAGTGAATATACCTAATGAAAAGTTACTTACCGATTTTCTCCACAGAATTGCTCTATACTGTTGAACTCCTTCAGTATTAGAATCAGTGAGAACCACAGAAAAAAAGAAAGGAACCTTCTCACCGTCTACTCCTGCATAATTCTGATGAACTTTAAAAACAAAATATATATAAATAGTTAATCAAACATAATTTTTAATATTTGACGTAAGAGTATGCAGTAATTATCTAAACTACAAGAGAACCATCATTAAAAAAGGTATTTGAACAAATGTTTATAGATTGTTTGTTTGTTCGAAGTTAAGCACAAAGCTACACAATGGGCTATCTGTGCTCTGCCCACCACGGGTATCGAAACCCGGATTCTAGCGTTGTAAATCCGGAGACATACCGCTATGCCACAAGGGGGGCATGATTATAGAGGTTTAATTACGTTATATTTAAACATTTTAAATATGCCAATCAATAAGGTTTATGACAACCACAGCCCATATCAAGTCGCGATAGAACGGAATTTATCAGAACTACATGTTATTTTTTAGCATTTCGTACTTAGTGCGATGCCTTTGAAAAATTAGAAAGGTTATGTAACAACCCTTTCCGATGCAAACTATTCATACACTGAGATAATAAAAATATGTTCAGATAGAGAATTTATAATTTTGAAAATGAGCAGATTCCTTGTTCTTAATGGAATCGGGGAACAAAGGAATATTCATGAACTTGAGGGAGCAGTAGTATCCAGAAAGAGACCTGAAAAAGTCGTACCCCAAAGTAACAGATGAAAATTCACGAACACAAAGGTCATTGGAAAAAGCCGTTCAAGTGCCCCAGGTAGCAGTATACGTAATAAAGTATCTTTGTTTAGAAAAGCGTCACAGGTTACGTATACACAAGTTGTTTCCACAACATACCATACCTCAAACAGCTGGATAATGAAACAGGTATTCATGCTGGAAGACATACCAGTCGAGTCGTCTATGAGTTTCTGTGCGATCGAACTGTTGTAATAGTCCCTGGGAAACTGCCGTCTTTGCGCACGAAATGGATTATGGAAAACAATCAAGGAGGAAGCGTGTGCTTTGTACAGGACACTTTTACATTATAACGTTTTTTTTTTGCAATAAAAACTTCGCTTCAGGACTGTTGTCAAAATCCACGGTTGTCAGGAACATAGCCGGACGTGGTGACATGGGTTTTAATGACGTGGTGAGACTCCAAATTCCTTTTAATATAACGTACTAAATCTCTGTATATGAGCAGCAAGTATGCGATGTATGCGTTAACTGATGTTATATTAATAAAAACAAATTACATGCAAGCGGTATATACCATAAGACATTATTTCGTGTATATTTTTGTAGAAGCTAGAAAGGACCTTTATACTTAAAGGTACATAAACAAAATATTTTAAAAGAAATTGTCAGAATAGTTTTATGTTCGCATCCACAGTCTCGTGAATGAAATAAAAGTAAATTGCAAGAAAATTGAAAACACGTCGCGATATAATTCCGACGACCGGATGAAAGCTAATAACTTACATTGAAATACATACGTATGAATGACATTCTATAAAACACTCACTTGCATTGAACTAAGACAAACAAAGTTTAGAAAATAATGAATTACAATGCGGCAAAAGTATTCATGCTAAACGTTAGAGCTTGAACAAAAATATGCCAAAATGATTAGTTTCCATTTCGTAATATGTTTATATGCTGTCTGTTTATTAGATTTCATAAAATATAGTTAGTTACTTATATCGACTTCATATAAGGTCATGTTTAAAGTAAATGAACACAAACGCACACACGTATAAATACTTGTTGTTCCATCAAATACACAAATACATAAATCTTGTATACTAATCTGCCTTTTATTATGAAAAATATTTTAAAATACAGGTTTTTAACACCAAATAAACCCGACACTCACCCCGCTCATAAAGCTTATGACAATCAATACACAATTGAAAACGCCTAATTTGATAGGAATGCACGTGGTAATAAAATTGACAGCACTACTGGAGAGTTAAGAATATAAGTTAAAAAAGTCTTACACTTAAAAGTCTTTTAAGAGTAAAATCGATATTTCTTCACATACTTAGTTTTCTTCGTGTTGTCTGGTATTGACCATGTAAAAGAAAACATAAAAATTACGCTTATATATATATATATATGTACTTGAATGTCTCATACACTATATTTTAGTAATTTCTTTTTGTTAGCTTTTTGTATTGTTTTAAACTTTATTAGAACCACCTTACTTTCCACTTTGGTCTAATAAAAATTAAGTTAATAATACGGATGTGAACGAAACAAGTGGACAAAGGACAAAGAAGAAATAAGGAACAGAGAGGTCATTATGGATAACAAAGGAAGTGAATAGGAAAAACTAACTGATCAGAAACACATAAATCAGAACATAAATTAAAAGATGTGGATACGAACATTTTTACTTGTGAGAAACAAAAATCAAGAGAGAGGAAAAACAAATGAAAATGTTAAAAAGAAAAGGTGAGAAACACAGTGATAAAGAATGATAGCAAAAAATGGACAAGAGAAAATTATTTGGTGTGAAACAATGAGGTCAGGAGAAAGATGTCAAACAAGTCTGGATCAAAAGGAAACGGTAAGATACACAATGAGCTGGAAAATAGCAAAACAGCTGGTTAGAAGAAAATGAAATGATGAGAAACATAGAAAACAGGAGAGATGATAGAAGAAGTGGATGGTACAAAAATAGAGGATGAGAAACACGGTGACCTATAAAGATAGCAAAATCACTGTACTAAGAGAATGAAGAGGTGAGAATCACAGAGATCATGGAAATAAAGAAAAAGTAGATGGTGGAAAATGAGTAAAACGGTGAAAAGTACAGATAACATGAACGAGAGAAAAACAAGTAGATAGATGAGAATAGAGGGTGAGAGCCACAGAGGTCAGAAAAGAGACTAAAAGAAATGGATGGGGCAAATGAGGAGGTGAAAATACATTAAAACAATGGATAGGGGAAATGAGAAAATGAGAAACACAGAGGTAAAAAAACGATTGTGAAATAAGCGAAGGGGGAACGAAGAAGGAGAGGTTAGAAGGGAGAACATGATAAGTAGATGAGAAAATTGTTTTGTTTGTTTTGTTTTTGAATTTCGCGCAAAGCTACACGAGGGCTATCTGCGCTAGCCGTCCTTAATTTAGCAGTGTAAGATTAGAGGGAAGGCAGCTAGTCATCACCACACACCGCCAACTCTTGGGCTACTCTTTTACCAACGAATAGTGGGATTGACCGTCACATTATAACACCCCCACGGCTGAAAGGGCGAGCATGTTTGGTGGGACAGGGATTCGAACCCACGACCCTCAGATTGTGAGTCGAGCGCCCTGACCACCTGGCCATGCCGGGCCAGACGAGAGAATAAGAACAAGTGTGGTGCAAAACAAGTAAACTGGAAAAATGGAAGGTAAGAAACAGTACATTTTACTGTATAACTGGAAGTATGGAAAAACACAAAGGTCATTAGCGATAGCAAAAAATTGGACTAATAGAAAAAAAGAGGAAAATATATTGGAGAAATTAGAGATTAGAAGGATAAACTAAAGAAACAGGGCGAGATAAAATAAAAAGGCGAAAGAAACTATGATTGGAAATATTAACAAGAACTTCTGAGTGAGAGTAAAGAAAAGAGTATAATGAGCCAACAAAATGTATCATAGATGGAAAAAATTAGAGTGTGAGAAACAACGAGATCAAAAGGATGAAAAGTTTTAAAGGTGGGTTGAATAAAAATATTAGAAGAAAAAATCAGCAGTATATAGAAGGGAGATGGATTTAAGAAATACAATAGAATAATAATTATAGTCTAGGAAACAAACCTTCGTAAGGAAGAATATACCAGGTAAAAGAAAAAAAAATAGAAACATTTTAGACTTAGAGATTATGAGAAGGAAAATGTAACCCTAATGATCATTCAACCATTATTTGTGTCTGGTAATTTTGTTTCTTCAACTAATTCTTTATTATTATCGCATGAATGCTTCTTCTCTGGATTAGCCCAATGAACTATAGTAAACAAATGTTATCATAAAATGGGGAAATTCAGATCGCAACAAGAGAAGAAGTGAAAAATCTAAATTGAAGGCGAACACGGAAAAGAGTAGAGAGCACTAGACAGATCAGAATTGAGCAAGAGATTAAAATGCCTTCAAACCAAATGATCGCATTTCTGAAAGAATCTAAAGTGGGAATAGCAGACGTGAATATTTCTCTATTCATTATCGATATGCTAAAGATTCAACACTCGAAGCAACAATTTCCAGAGCCACTTTCCCTTCTATTATCTATCTTGATCGCTTCTGTTGCACATGGCTACGAAATATCGAGAAAATCGATTTTTCTGACTAAGGAAGGAATGTTCCTGACTAAGGAATATTTTATAATACCGGTTTTCAGCTTAAATTACTATGCTAAAAACTGTAACAAAATTAGGCTTTCATGTGTTTTTTTTTCTAAAAATTATGATAATAGTTGTGTAACCAATGTAAAAATGCGAATACACTCAGGAGCAATCTGACAATTAAGGTGACGAATGTTCGATATGTTTTGCTATCATTATTAAAAGACGGAATACATATGCAAAGCAAAAGTTAAATAATTATTTAAAAAATAATAATTGAGCAAGTACAAATAGACCAGAGTTAAGTATAAAAACTATATGATAAAATTTCATAAATTACGTTACGTTTCAAAGTACGTTAATATGAACAAAAATAAAATATAAAAGAAACATAAAAAAAGCGCTAAAACCATTGTAATTGTGCAACACTTTACAGAAGTTATTCAATGAATTTAAATATAAAGTTAGTATTTTTCAGAATGAAATAACGTCTCGTTTAAAACAATAGCATACATTTTAAAATATTATTTCGAATTACATAGGTTCCGAAGATGTTATTAAAAGCATAAATCAGTTGCACAAAGTTTCCGTTATTTTAACAGGTAGAAAAGTGTCAGCGACAACGTAGAGTGACACAGAAAATATTCATTGTGGTTGGTCAAAATGAACTAAATATTATTTCTTTATAGTTTTAGCTCTTATTTGCAGTAATATATTATTAGACCCCCCACACACACATACGAAAAAGAACAATACTTTATACACCTACCTTTATTGAAAAAGGAACAATACTTTACACACTTGTCTTGATTGAAAAAGGAACAATACTTGACACATCTGTCTTTATTGATAAAGGAACAATACTTTACATACCTGCCTTTATTGAAAAAGGAACAATACTTTACACACTTGCCTTTATTGAAAAAGGAACAATACTTGACCCATCTGTCTTTATTGAAAAAGGAACAATACTTTAAACCCCTGTCTTTATTGAAAATCGACTGTAATTATTTTTTGAGACTCAACTACAGTTTCAAAACGAAAACACTTAACCGTCTTTCCATTACATTTATGGTCTTTGGTCGAAATCCCAAATATATTTACTTTTAGAACTTATTCGAATCTTATAATGATATTTTTACTTCTACCAAAAAAGTTGCTAAAATATTTGATAAATAAATTTAATAATAAATGGTCTTAATTATGAGTAACAAGAAGTCTCTACGATCACTCTGGTCTAGGTCACCAGTTGAATATTCTCACTGTTAACGGTGTTTTCGGACTGTTATCCCAATAACACCTGATTTATTGATTTTTCAGTGAAAAATAAACTCTATATGTTAAAGTACCACGAAAAAATACCAAAACGTTTTTCTTAGAACAATTATTACAGTATTTTTATATAACAAACTGTCACTTTATGGCAATCCTTGATACATAGTTTCACTAGCTAACCTGTTTCATCTTTGTGTTGAATATGTAGGATCAGACTGCTGCTGCTTTCCTTCTAAGTTCTAAATTTCTGTTGATTCTACACGTACTAATCGGTTTAAACACTCAAAATGGTCTCTTAGAAGGTTTAATAATTGTACATTTTGTTGTGTAATAAACGAATGACCCTTTTACTGTGCGAATCTCATTGCTCACAAACAGCTAGCTGCAACACCTCCTTATGATATATTCATAAATAACTTTCATGTTAAGAGTACATTATTTGTCCATTTCTTCAGCTTTTATTTGATTTTGCTATGGGTTGGCACTATACGATTCAGTATAGATACTGTACGTAATGTAGTTTTCTCATTGGCCAACATAAAGGCATACGAAATTGAAATTATGAGATAATAAAATAATGAGATTGCTTACGTCTCCCAAGAAAGTACTTGAAGTACCATCTCGTCTGATATTCTGGGTTTTCGAGAACAGGAGTACTAGGTGAACCATACAACTAGAAAAGAAATATATCGATCTAATTCAGAACATGTCTTTACTGGACATGAAAATAATACCTTGAGTATGAGCAAAATTCACTTTTACAAAATGTTTATATGTAAACGAAAGGTACATAAAATATGACTCGTCCAACAACTGAATTTATTCACAGAGTAATAATATGCCATTTTTGTAAGGACTACTTTTCTTTACGATGGTAAGGCTAGTCTCTACAAATATTTTCGTTACACTACAAGTTATTCGTGTGTAGAACTTTACATTGCGTGAAGCCCTAAGGCAGATAAGTTATCAGTCCTTCTTATATTGAAGCATACAATAAAAAAAAAAAAAGACACACGAAAATTTCAGAAAACCCAATTTTCTGGTGTCAGTCCTCAGGATTTTATCTGATTGGATTGCTGGGATTAATAGCAAACCAGAGTTTGTGCTAAAGCATTATTGCTACGCCGGAGAATGATGTATTCTTAATAGTTAAGCACCTGGCGTCTATAAAAATCTAGCAAGGAATGCCTTTTTTTTTTTACTTACAGTTTCACAAAAACAAGTTCCAAAACTTTAAATATTATTTTGTTGATCGTATTTTCTAGAAGTGATCTTGTATTTTTTGATGGAGAATTTCTACTGCTACTAAATTTTACCTTTTGCCAATATGTTAAGTCAATTTTACCTTTCGTCATTATGTTGAAACATCTTCGAATTCCTTTTCCAAAACAATATTCTTTTAGCTTCTATATCGTCCAAAAATACATCAGTTCATTTGAAATTTCTTACTTCGCAGTAGCCGGCAGCGCCAGCTTTTGCTTTAAAAGTATTGCAATAGTGATGATGATAACAATGAAATCCCATGATTCGGTGTAATGACAATGAATTTAAAATTATTTATTTATTTTTAACGCTTAAACACAAAACTCTGTCAAAAATGTCAAGATTTTGTGAAAATATGATCTCAAAAGATGTAAAAGTCCACTTCACATTATAGCTAGATAACTAATTGTACACATGCTTTCTGCCTCGCACTACTCTTACTAAACTGAAATATTTCCTTTTCACGAGCTATTTCTACTACCATTTTGTGCCGTATTTTAAAAGATATAATTTCAAAAATATTCCTGTTTAAATGTGTTTTAAATTGTAACTTTGAAAATTGTTTTTGCCACTTAAAAACGTTTTAATAATATTACATTTACTTAAAGCTATAAATATCCAACTTTACCTACACAAAGTTACATAACTTATAAAGCCTTACTTCGTCTTTTTCTGCTCTTTCTCCACTTTCCACTCGGAATCGACGAAAGAGGTCAGCACCGTCGGTTTCAACTGAAGCAAGCTAAAAAGTTTAAGATTCAATTATAATTTATAATGTATAGATTCCAGTGAATATTGTAAATACTCCTCAATAGATGAACATACCAGAATATAATTGGTTAAAATAAAGCTCGGTACAATATCTTATTTTCATGAACAATAAACACCTAGCACATACATTCGTATTTACATAATATGCTTTAACAGACGTAATATTTTTTTATTAAGCGTCAGCTGATCTTCAATCCAATATTTTTCCATCTTTGATGTATGATAATAAGTACTAATTCCAAATAATTATATACCAGACATTTATCTTCAATCGATATTTTTTTCCATTCCATCTGTGACGTATGTTAATAAGTATTAATTCCAAATATATACGTGCCAGACACCAGAAATAGATCTACAAGAAGCAGGATTTAGTTGACATCATGCAATTTTCATTAATAAATTTGTCTCATGATAGGACACGTAGTTGTATACTTGTCATAAGTGGTATAAATTATTATTAATGTAAAAATAGCTAAATTACCATTTTTGAGGCTTTAAGAAACCATTCCAACAAGAATACTACTACTTATACGTAATCAAACATTTCAAGTATATGATTCATGACAAAGCTATCTGCTGCCGCCCCTAATTTTGAACTACTAATCAGTGGGAAGGCAGGCGGTCAGAAGCACCCTACCATCCACACTAAGGGACTGACTGTCACTCTTATGACGTACCCATAGCTTAAAGTGTGCTTGTACGTTTTAGCGCAAAGTTAGACATTGTTCAATCTGCGTTTTGTTCATCACGGGGAATTGAGCTCCAGTTTCTGGTGTTGCAATCCTTAACCTTACCACTGACTTACCGGAGAATGCGGTTTATAGTGTTTGGAATATTTTGTGGTATCACACGGGTTAGAAGCTGGCTTACCAGCACTAAAACCTAAAACTCTATCACAGAGCCAGCGCTCCATCTCTTATTAAGTAAAAGATCATTGTAAAAATAGGAACTTATAACTATTGAACTAAGCAACAAAGTATTTTCGAGACAGACCAGTAAAATAAGGGTTATAAGCAGAATCTTAGCATGCAAATTTTATACTGCAACCAATTTATAAAGGTATGTAACACGTGAAATGCATAACATATTATGTTTTACTTTTGAGTGTTTTTGTTGAAATATTACAATACATATAACCTCAGTAGAATCAGAACTAAAAGATGTCTCGAAAGTCTTAATGTAGAAACATGAATAACTATTTTTTTAGAATATGAATTGGTTTATATCATGTCTGTCAATTTATATTTTAGTTTATATACACGGTATTTGGGACCTTGACGATTCAGGATAGCTTACGTTTCTAGTTTATAAATAGTATTTTGTGGACTTGTCGGTTCAAGAGAAATTAAATTTTTAGTTTATAAATACAGTATTTTATGGACTTGTCGGTTCAGGAGAGATTACATTTCTAGCTTATAAACAGCATTTTGTGGACTTGCCGGATCAGGAGAGATTAAATTTCTAGTTTACAATACACAGTATTGTGTGGACTTGTCGGTTCAGGAGAGATTATATTTCTAGCTTGTAAACAGTATTTTTTGGACTTGTCGGTTCAAGTGAGATTATATTTCTAGTGTATAGACACATCATTTAGAAACATCCTTTACAGTGAATTGTACTTGCATCCCAATTAGTTAAACACGGAAAAAAGTTCCAAGAAACTGAATAATACACTATGCTATAAGCATACATAATTTTTATAACGTCCTGATTTGAAAGTTATTTTTTTCTATAAAATAAACTTACACATAAGGCATGAAGTGTAGGCTCTTTAAAGACTTGTGAACTGGGGTACCAGCAAGTAGAAAAAGACCATTTTTATAGCATGTTTTCAATGTAATACAACTTTATGAAACTTAGTATAGAAAATCTAAAATCAATCATAATAAATTAACACCAGAAATCATTAACTTGTCACTAAATTTCGCACAATGCTTTTACGTTTCAGTTTAACGGGATTATAATGAATGCCAGTGAACGAAGCCTCACATACTGTTGTCTGGGAAACAATCCAGTATAACTCCATTTATTCATACACATTTTCATTAGCGAGGAGTGTTTGAGATTAAAGAATTTCTTTACTTTCTGTTTTGTAAGCTATAACGTGCAATGCATTCTTACTATGTATAGCATTAATATATTTGTTACCTAAACTACTATTTATTTGCACCGATCGCAAACTTAAACTACAATTTAATATAAAATAACTCTTCTAGGGTATTTCCTTTTTTAATTTGCAATCACTGATCGACATCCAATTTTGTAGTTGTACAATTAAGTAAAATTTTAAAAAGATAAGCCACGACAGTTAAAATTACTGTCTATATTGGATTTCATTTTTTTTCTGATGTAACGCCTACTGATGGCAAGAAATCGACTAGCTTTAGCGTATTCCGTGGATTAATTTAAGTAAGCATTTTGTAAAGTGATCTGACCTTTGAATATTTCAAATTTAATCGAATTCTGTACGAAAACATTCCATATCACTTATACTACATATTTTATAAACGTTTCAGTTTGTAAAGTTGATATTTCTCTAGTTTTTATCTTGAAATATTCTCAAAGACCAATAAATTAAAAAAATCAAAACGCATGACATTTATGTGTTCACATTTTTCAATGCAAACTTTTGGACATTAAAATTAAACATGTTATATTAATTATTATAATATTTCGGTAAGTTTAATAATTACTTTTTATTGCAGAGATCTCCTTGCAATACCTTCTTAAACAATGTCTTGCACAAAATTGTTATTGTAATATGGTAAACGACTAAAAGCTAATTAAGAGTACTCCTTCTTCACGTATGATGTCTGTTTTAATGGGTGTTGTGATGTCTGTTCTAGTGGGTGTCGTTGTGTCTATTCTAATGGGTGTTGCTGCTGTTGAACGTGGGGAAATAAAGCTTTGAACATCGGGGTTCTGTACTATTGAGTTCATTGCTTCATATCCTAACCTTTCTAATTCAAGGTACTCTAGTTCGTTAATACATGGGTCACATTACTGAATGACAACTTTGACAAAACATTGCTCAAATACACTGCATTTTCTATTTCTCTGACAATAAAGTGTAATACTCATAGCAGTGAGTATAACTGTTTTTAACATATCGACAATACATAGTGCTGAATTAATATTTGACATATTGGGAAATTTTGCTTTCAAACACGTACTAATTTTGCTCAGGTAAACTGGTTTAGAACTGAAGTATTATAAACTATTGAATCTATAAGTGCATGGTTATCGTAGCAACTTTTATTTTTGTAAGGCTTTTTTATCTCATCTTCTTTTTCTATATAAGCAAAATAAACAACATGATATATAAAAGATGGATACAATGAGAGTCCTTATCAATTTTTTTTTAACGAAAATTTCCACAAATTGAGTAGCATATACATATTTATGACATTTTATATATTTTCCAAAATCCATCAGATGGCGGCCGCTAATGTATGCGGACCTATATATTAATCATTGCATATTTTCTGACGTAATTACTTCTGCAATCATTATAGAGAAAAATCACACTATTATTTACGTTTATTAATAAATCCGATAACATATATCACATCATATGGCGACAGATGGGGGTACTTGCGTTATTATATTTTACTAGATCAGCTAATGCAATATCATGCGAGGAAAATATCAGATGTGTATTGCACGGTATCTACTTGAAACAAATCTTAGCTTTATATAATCTGCTAAAGTTATTTAGTGTACTGCGTCATGCATATCACCTAGTCACTTTCATCAGCAGAGTCCAAAATCCTGATCTACTGTATCAAGTACACGTTGCTCGTGTGGTGTTGGAAAAGACAGGAGTGTGTCCTCATGATGGTAGAGAAGTAGATATCATTAAACATATGCGATATTAGTACAGCTTCCTAAACTCCCCTTGCCCCAGAGCGACACAGGCAATATCATCCACTTATTAGACGACCAACTGATGCTGTGACCAACTGATGCTGTGTCGTAAGGAATTACTATGGAGTAAGCCTCTGATGCCACATGCTGTCTGAACGAAGTTCCTTAGAATACGAGTCACTTGTTAGACAGTATGGGGAAGTCGGGCAGTGGTGTAGAAGTCGTATGCTGCCATACAACAGTAGCTTCTCTGGATTAACTATTTTCTGCAACTCGTTTATTTGGGATAAAAGTGAAAATCTTTCCTCTTCCTCTTGCTGTTTTCATCTGAATGTAAAACTTACACATTTGTTTTATGTAATATCCAGAGTAAGTGATTTCCAAGCTAGGCGTGAATTTTTGTTTTCCATTTTAAATATTTCCACTCCCCATCTGACATTTGTTATAGTTTTTGATTGGTTCTTTTTGTATTGAATTCTTTGTCCATTCGTTACGTAATTAAGCATATCCTAGGCTAATCACGCAGGGTTTTTCCTCTGGTATTATACATGATAATCCAGGATAGCAATTTCCTCGCGGAAAAAGCACGTAGAAACACACTATGAAACACTACTGAAACAGTGTGTATCACATGAACTTAGTGCGGAAACACTATGGACAGTTTTCCTAAAAAACAACACAGCGTATTTTCATTGTGTTTTGCTTGCATTATTCGTACAAATTGTGATTTGTCTTTTCACACAGTCCAGAGTCTGTGACACTCAACCTAACACTGTAAAGTAGATGTTTTAATGGCTTTTTTTCTTACAGGTTGTGGTAATTCTTATCATATTGTTTCGTTCTAATATTTAAGTTAATTTTTCATTATATGTTGTACCGTATCTTGGGATTCACTTACGCTATAAATCAGAAAATGGCTTAATATACTCCAGATTTTGATTAATAAAGAAGCGAAGAATTCTTCACTAGGTTTGTTGTTTCATGCATTTCTTTTCATGTGTTATGCAGAATTAGCTCCGTTATGCAGATTAGACCTGTTCTGGGACTCATGATGCAGAAATGACCTAATAAACAAATTTACCTTTTATTAACTTGTTGTGC